ATTTAATATCCACCAATTTTAACGAATGAGGTATCAAATGAAAGGGTATTCGGAGGAGAAGTGATAAACCATAGTCACTTCTTCCTCGGAAGTTCAGCGGTAGAAGTTATGAGAGAAAGAGGCAAATTTTTATCTCCAAATAGCTCAGACATTTTTTTGTTGAGAAACAGAGTTGAGATTTGTATTTAGAACGTCTAAGAACCCTCAAATACGAATTTTCATAGCAATCGAAAAATAAAACTTTTTTTCTTCGAAATTGAATCAAGGCTATATATAGCCTTAGTTTTTTGTAAAAAATGATGAAAAATTTTATATCCACCGATTTTAACGAATGAGGTATCAAATGAAAGGGTATTCGGAGGAGAAGTGATAAACCATAGTCACTTCTTCCTGGAAGTTCAGCGGTAGAAGTTATGAGAGAAAGAGGCAAATTTTTATCTCCAAATAGCTCAGACATTTTTTTGTTGAGAAACAGAGTTGAGATTTGTATTTAGAACGTCTAAGAACCCTCAAACACGAATTTTCATAGCAATCGAAAAATAAAACTTTTTTTCTTCGAAATTGAATCAAGGCTATATATAGCCTTAGTTTTTTGTAAAAAATGATGAAAAATTTTATATCTACGGATTTTAACGAATGAGGTATCAAATGAAAGGGTATTCGGAGGAGAAGTGATAAACCATAGTCACTTCTTCCCGGAAGTTCAGCGGTAGAAGTTATGAGAGAAAGAGGCAAATTTTTATCTCCAAATAGCTCAGACATTTTTTTGTTGAGAAACAGAGTTGAGATTTGTATTTAGAACGTCTAAGAACCCTCAAACACGAATTTTCATAGCAATCGAAAAATAAAACTTTTTTTCTTCGAAATTGAATCAAGGCTTATATAGCCTTAGTTTTTTGTAAAAAATGATGAAAACTTTTATAACCACCGATTTTAACGAATGAGGTATCAAATGAAAGGGTATTCGGAGGAGAAGTGATAAACCATAGTCACTTCTTCCCGGAAGTTCAGCGGTAGAAGTTATGAGAGAAAGAGGCAAATTTTTATCTCCAAATAGCTCAGACATTTTTTTGTTGAGAAACAGAGTTGAGATTTGTATTTAGAACGTCTAAGAACCCTCAAACACGAATTTTCATAGCAATCGAAAAATAAAACTTTTTTTCTTCGAAATTGAATCAAGGCTATATAGCCTTAGTTTTTTGTAAAAAATGATGAAAAATTTAATATCCACCAATTTTAACGAATGAGGTATCAAATGAAAGGGTATTCGGAGGAGAAGTGATAAACCATAGTCACTTCTTCCTGGAAGTTCAGCGGTAGAAGTTATGAGAGAAAGAGGCAAATTTTTATCTCCAAATAGCTCAGACATTTTTTTGTTGAGAAACAGAGTTGAGATTTGTATTTAGAACGTCTAAGAACCCTCAAATACGAATTTTCATAGCAATCGAAAAATAAAACTTTTTTTCTTCGAAATTGAATCAAGGCTATAGCCTTAGTTTTTTGTAAAAAATGATGAAAAATTTAATATCCACCAATTTTAACGAATGAGGTATCAAATGAAAGGGTATTCGGAGGAGAAGTGATAAACCATAGTCACTTCTTCCCGGAAGTTCAGCGGTAGAAGTTATGAGAGAAAGAGGCAAATTTTTATCTCCAAATAGCTCAGACATTTTTTTGTTGAGAAACAGAGTTGAGATTTGTATTTAGAACGTCTAAGAACCCTCAAACACGAATTTTCATAGCAATCGAAAAATAAAACTTTTTTTCTTCGAAATTGAATCAAGGCTATATAGCCTTAGTTTTTTGTAAAAAATGATGAAAAATTTAATATCCACCAATTTTAACGAATGAGGTATCAAATGAAAGGGTATTCGGAGGAGAAGTGATAAACCATAGCCACTTCTTCCCGGAAGTTCAGCGGTAGAAGTTATGAGAGAAAGAGGCAAACTTATATCTCCAAATAGCTCAGATATTTTTTTGTTGAGAAACAGAGTTGAGATTTGTATTTGGAACGTCTAAGAACCCTCAAACACGAATTTTCATAGCAATCGAAAAATAAAACTTTTTTTCTTCGAAATTGAATCAAGGCTTATATAGCCTTAGTTCTTTGTAAAAAATGATGAAAAATTTTATATCCACGGATTTTAACGAATGAGGTATCAAATGAAAGGGTATTCGGAGGAGAAGTGATAAACCATAGTCACTTCTTCCCGGAAGTTCAGCGGTAGAAGTTATGAGAGAAAGAGGCAAATTTTTATCTCCAAATAGCTCAGACATTTTTTTGTTGAGAAACAGAGTTGAGATTTGTATTTAGAACGTCTAAGAACCCTCAAACACGAATTTTCATAGCAATCGAAAAATAAAACTTTTTTTCTTCGAAATTGAATCAAGGCTATATATAGCCTTAGTTTTTTGTAAAAAATGATGAAAAATTTTATATCTACGGATTTTAACGAATGAGGTATCAAATGAAAGGGTATTCGGAGGAGAAGTGATAAACCATAGTCACTTCTTCCCGGAAGTTCAGCGGTAGAAGTTATGAGAGAAAGAGGCAAATTTTTATCTCCAAATAGCTCAGACATTTTTTTGTTGAGAAACAGAGTTGAGAGTTGTATTTAGAACGTCTAAGAACCCTCAAACACGAATTTTCATAGCAATCGAAAAATAAAACTTTTTTTCTTCGAAATTGAATCAAGGCTATATAGCCTTAGTTTTTTGTAAAAAATGATGAAAAATTTAATGTCCACCGATTTTAACGAATGAGGTATCAAATGAAAGGGTATTCGGAGGAGAAGTGATAAACCATAGTCACTTCTTCCCGGAAGTTCAGCGGTAGAAGTTATGAGAGAAAGAGGCAAATTTTTATCTCCAAATAGCTCAGACATTTTTTTGTTGAGAAACAGAGTTGAGATTTGTATTTAGAACGTCTAAGAACCCTCAAACACGAATTTTCATAGCAATCGAAAAATAAAACTTTTTTTCTTCGAAATTGAATCAAGGCTATATATAGCATTAGTTTTTTGTTAAAAATGATGAAAAATTTTATATCCACGGATTTTAACGAATGAGGTATCAAATGAAAGGGTATTCGGAGGAGAAGTGATAAACCATAGTCACTTCTTCCCGGAAGTTCAGCGGTAGAAGTTATGAGAGAAAGAGGCAAATTTTTATCTCCAAATAGCACAGACATTTTTTTGTTGAGAAACAGAGTTGAGAGTTGTATTTAGAACGTCTAAGAACCCTCAAACACGAATTTTCATAGCAATCGAAAAATAAAACTTTTTTTCTTCGAAATTGAATCAAGGCTTATATAGCCTTAGTTTTTTGTAAAAAATGATGAAAAATTTAATGTCCACCGATTTTAACGAATGAGGTATCAAATGAAAGGGTATTCGGAGGAGAAGTGATAAACGATAGTCACTTCTTCCCGGAAGTTCAGCGGTAGAAGTTATGAGAGAAAGAGGAAATTTTTATCTCCAAATAGCTCAGACATTTTTTTGTTGAGAAACAGAGTTGAGAGTTGTATTTAGAACGTCTAAGAACCCTCAAACACGAATTTTCATAGCAATCGAAAAATAAAACTTTTTTTCTTCGAAATTGAATCAAGGCTATATAGGCTTAGTTTTTTGTAAAAAATGATGAAAAATTTTATATCTACGGATTTTAACGAATGAGGTATCAAATGAAAGGGTATTCGGAGGAGAAGTGATAAACCATAGTCACTTCTTCCCGGAAGTTCAGCGGTAGAAGTTATGAGAGAAAGAGGCAAATTTTTATCTCCAAATAGCTCAGACATTTTTTTGTTGAGAAACAGAGTTGAGATTTGTATTTAGAACGTCTAAGAACCCTCAAACACGAATTTTCATAGCAATCGAAAAATAAAACTTTTTTTCTTCGAAATTGAATCAAGGCTATATAGCATTAGTTTTTTGTTAAAAATGATGAAAAATTTTATATCCACGGATTTTAACGAATGAGGTATCAAATGAAAGGGTATTCGGAGGAGAAGTGATAAACCATAGTCACTTCTTCCCGGAAGTTCAGCGGTAGAAGTTATGAGAGAAAGAGGCAAATTTTTATCTCCAAATAGCACAGATATTTTTTTGTTGAGAAACAGAGTTGAGATTTGTATTTGGAACGTCTAAGAACCCTCAAACACGAATTTTCATAGCAATCGAAAAATAAAACTTTTTTTCTTGGAAATTGAATCAAGGCTATAGCCTTAGTTTTTTGTAAAAAATGATGAAAAATTTTATATCCACCGATTTTAACGAATGAGGTATCAAATGAAAGGGTATTCGGAGGAGAAGTGATAAACCATAGCCACTTCTTCCCGGAAGTTCAGCGGTAGAAGTTATGAGAGAAAGAGGAAATTTTTATCTCCAAATAGCTCAGACATTTTTTTGTTGAGAAACAGAGTTGAGAGTTGTATTTAGAACGTCTAAGAACCCTCAAACACGAATTTTCATAGCAATCGAAAAATAAAACTTTTTTTCTTCGAAATTGAATCAAGGCTTATATAGCCTTAGTTTTTTGTAAAAAATGATGAAAAATTTAATGTCCACCGATTTTAACGAATGAGGTATCAAATGAAAGGGTATTCGGAGGAGAAGTGATAAACGATAGTCACTTCTTCCCGGAAGTTCAGCGGTAGAAGTTATGAGAGAAAGAGGAAATTTTTATCTCCAAATAGCTCAGACATTTTTTTGTTGAGAAACAGAGTTGAGAGTTGTATTTAGAACGTCTAAGAACCCTCAAACACGAATTTTCATAGCAATCGAAAAATAAAACTTTTTTTCTTCGAAATTGAATCAAGGCTTTAGCCTTAGAAACCTGCTGATTGCTACAATTTTTTGCATGAAAACGTAAATATTACGGCTAGAAACATCATGTTTGTCACTTATAGATATTAATAATTAATTTATGAATATTAAGCAACTAAAGTGACAAGATGACATCAGAAAGGTAAATAGGTAAATGGTAAATAATATAAACAGAGATAGGTTTAGACATTTTAATTATAAAATCAATTATATATACATATATTGTAACTGATACTTGAAAATAAATAATATCTGTAGGCTAAAATATGTCATATATCTAGTTAAATAAAATTATTTACATATATTAAAAATTTTAAGTCATGACACAGATGATATTGGGTTATGTGGAGACCCCATTTGAGTCAAAACTTTATCCAGCCATTGCAGCGGCCCATGAAGATGTACTTCTATCCAGCAGGGAGTCGATGTCACGTCCTGTCGATGATACTCTGCTCCCCACCCCTTTACAAAGGACATCCTACAATATAAGATATATTAATAAAATAATACGAGGTATCTTCAACATAGGTTTAAATATAAAAACAAAGAAGAATTATGTATAACAAGCTGACAGACAAAATTCCATATAAATAAATACAATATGAGATAAGGTCAGAGTGGATTACTTTGAACCAGTTTTTTTAACTTTTTGTGACAATAAGTGTGTTTGACAAAAGTGTTCTATCATTTTTTTTGTTGCAAAAAACGGAAAAAAGTTACTGACAATAAAAAACTGGGGTCCTTATAGCTCTGCGGCACAGGACTTGTCGGCGTGTAGTTCGCATGGTCTCTAATAGCGATATTGGATTTTGAGTGGACTTAAGGACAATGAATGAAATCGAGATTGGCCAGAGGGTAAGGGTTCTGAGAACTGGAGGACCTGCTCAGGAGGCTGTTGTTGGCTCTGTGATGTCTGTGGAGGCTGCGGGAGGCGGTGAAAAGAAATATGTAAAAGTTGAATGGCCAGACGCAGAAGGTGTACTATTGGGAAAGACAGTTTCGATAGATGATGTCTTCCCAGCATTGCCAAATGTTCCACAGAATGTCGCAGGGGCGGACAGAGAGCAGGAGAAAGAAGTTCTACACCCTAATAATAAAGTTTGTCCCATATGTGGGCTTTCTTTTAAGGGTGAAAGAGGTCTTGATTCAATAAGTAATGTACCATTTCTTGGCTTTTTCACATTTTTTAAGTCTCCTACTAAACCTGAAAGAAACTTATTTACTAAGAACGGGGATACTTTTTCAAAATTTTGATCATCTGATCTTTCTATTATTAAGAATGATGGGCTAATTGGGATCGCACCATCCGTATTTTCGGCTTCAAATTTAAGACGACCCCGAGGTCGTTTTCGTTTAACCTTTGGGCTATTTAAATCTATGGGGTCCCCCATAGAAATATAAAATAAAACGTAATAAAAGAAAGTAATTAATAAAGAGAAAAAGAAGAAAAAAAATAAATTGATATAATGAAATAAAATAAATATATCCTTATAGTTTATATTAAATATATATATATATATATATATATATATATATATATATATATATATATATATATATATATATTGTAACGTTCCTCTTTCCCTCCAAAATCAAACAACGAGTTTCCTTTTTTAATATACTACTTATTTTAACACATAACATAAATTCTCAGGTTGGGTTCTGACAACTGAACACTCATTCAACATTAAAGAACTATAATCTACACTAATTTACTAATTACTAACTACAGTTATATATAATTTAAAATAGTTTTATAAAATAATTTGTCCCGGTCTAAACTTTTGGTTCTATCCCTCTGTCCACATAAATGGCATTGTTAGCACTCACCCAAATGTTTACGCCTGCCAGTGAAATAATCTCTTCTTACTTACGAATGTTCCGCTTTCTGTACCACTTAATTAATTTCTGCTATGTTTTTCTTCCCATATAAAATAATCTCCACTAGTGGCCTCAATCAACACTCGAACCGGCTAAGACTTCTTTTTCACTTTCTCAGCTTGCTGGCTAGCACCTTCTCGCTTGGCAGCTCGTTACCTTCTCTCTTGACAGCTTGTCACATTCTCTTTTAGCGGCTCATAACCTTCTCTCTTGGCGGCCGGCCACATTCGGAGTTACATGAGGCTTGCTTCCCCCACCATCCGCACGCACTTTCTCCCCTTAGTTCGTGCTATTACCACTTTCGCACCACTATTCAAATGCCATGTAACGTTGATATTACAATATATATATCATTATAGTAAATAAAAATAATAAGTGAAAAGTTATAAAAAAAAGAAATTAATAAATCTTATCTGTGAGCGACTATAGAAACACGTCTTCTATCTTCGGATGCTAACACTGAACTGATGATAATAAAGTGATTCTCTCTCTCTTAATGAACAAATTAACCCACTTTGAAGGTATGGCAAAATTGTAATAATTATTGTATAGATAATTGGTTTATTATAAAAAGTCACTAAGTGCATTTTTGATGAAGCATAACTTTTTAAAACGTTTTCTGCATTCAGACCTTATTTATTGATACAAAAAATAATAGGAGCAACAAAATGAAAAAAAAAAAACTTTTATATAGGGATTAAACTATTTTCAGGATCAGATGTCTTAACTGAAAATATGAAGGATCGCAAAACAAGAAAACAATTTTTCTCTGAAGATAAGTCTATTTTTAAACGCTATATTTAGGAGATATTATAAAGATAAGATAGAATATGAACATGTTTTGCAAACTGTACAGAAAATATTGACAATGTAATGATTAATAGTATTTGGAAGGATCACTGGAAATTCTCTCGGTAACAATTATCAGTTTGTTTAGCGCTTTCATAGAGTACTTATCATTATGGCTGGACTTTAAACTAATAGTGGATATGCCAATATGGTTTTGCTAATGCTAATGTTTCCCATCATTGATTATCAAGCAAGTCCACATTTCAACGTATTAGAGAAACAATAACACATATCATTATGTGGAAGAAAGAAGCCGAGCCTGTTTTAATGGCCAAGATAATCACTTTGAACAACATTTAGTATGAATACTAATGTTTACATTTAATTAATAAAGTAGTCGGAACACATAATTTATTTATTAAACCTAAATGCAGGGATTGCATCACCTATTTCTTTTGATTCTTATGCTGATAACGTTGATTCCATTGAATGTTTTTGTTTTTCTTTACTTATTAAGGGTACAAGAAAACTTTAACAATGTTTCTCAGTTCAGTTTTAACTAATGTCAGGATAAAAGCTATAATTATGACCTGTATCAAAAACTGTCTTTGCCTAAAAACATTAAAATTGAGACGTTATATGAAGTTAAGTATGGGAAATAGTAACGAGGATACCACCGACCAATTGTAGCCAGTTTAGAAAAAAAAAGACATCATGGAGCGAAAGAAAAACTGGGAGGAGAAACAATTTGTCCGCTTAATTGTGTGATTGTTTTTAGAATATCATTTCATATCTGGAAATCTTGCAGTAGCAATCTGGTGAATAAAATAAAAATTTTACTGGGTAATGCTATTTTTATGACTGTGACTGTAACTCATAATAATGAAAATATTTTCTGTGAAATTATAAGGTGAGTACCTCCTTAACAAAGCGAAAATGGATGGACCTACATAGGAAATGTTTTGAGATACTTAATTTATATTTTTTATTAAGACACTTAAACCTGAAACACCCTATATATTAATATAATTAGATGTGCACATTGTTCTTATAAATAAAAATTATATTATTATAAAAATTCTTTAAGTACCTAATGATATAAAGATTATTAAATGTTCCTAACGACTTTTTGCAATAAATCGAGAATATTTTTCTTTTTTATTATTTTTTTTTTCTTACCGCTTTTCACAGCAAAACTACATAAAATGTGTGCAGTTATAAAGCTGTAGCATTTTTTCGTAACTATGAATAATGCGAAATGATTAACTTTTTAAAATAAATCTTATTAAAGGTACTTTAGAGGAAGACATATATGAACATTGGGCATTTAAGCCCTGTAAAGTGACATCAATGGGGATAAGACCTAAATGATATTAAAGACCACTTAATTATACAATGATACAATCATTAGACCCTTTTTTGAGAAAATTATAAAAATGTGTTTCAGCGTTCATATAAAGTGGCACTTCCGGTTAGCCGATTTTAACGAAAAAGTTACTCTCACATCCGGCTCATATACAAACCCTAAATAGTTAATATCAGTTTCGTACTACTTTTCATTTATGGCCTAGACTGTTAACACACACACACAGACCATTTGAGCTATAGTTAATAAATTGACAGCAAAAATAATAAATTTTAACAATATAAATGAGTATACCTAATGGTACACATTTTTGTAAGTTCATATACTGCATCAAACCCATGGCGGACACTCTCTGAAAGAAGCTGTGCAAATTCCTGATTATTGAATATTTTCAAGGAACACCCCGATGGGATTTTGCAGACAGTCGATAGATGGAACCCGTGGTGGTGGTTGGCGTTTCTTGATTGAACGAATATAGCGGCATCTGATAGGCACTCCGCATACACTTCACCGCCAACATAATATAAATGTACTCCTTAAAAATTGAAACAAGTAAATTAAAATCATTCTTACATAACATATTTAAATTTAAAAAATATATATATATAAACTTGGGTCAAAGATGAAATATTCAGATCAATCATACAAATAGAAAAAAAAATTAAATTAGTAAACTTAACAAGACAATATAACTTGATGCAATTTCCAAATTAATAAATATATAGAAAAAACAAATATAAAATGGATTTTTACATTCATTTAAAATTTTCACTCACATCCACATAAACCATTAAAAAACCTTTACAAGATTTATTCAAAAACTTCTAATTGTCTACAGAAATAAGAGATAAATTGAAGACGGGCATGGCTACATACAACTAACATCTCCATTCAAATAAAAAAAAAAAATCCATAATATCAAAGTGATAAACAAAAAAAAATATCATTTAAAGTTTTTGTATTTAAACATTTATACAGAAATAAATAAATTTGAGAAGTAAATACCTGAAGAAGTCGGCTACTTTTAAACAGATCAATAAAAAACTCAAGATATTGAAATAAAAACTAACCACAGGCATATAAGAATATATCAAATACTCAACACAAATTTATTTTATGACAATCGTTTAAAATTACCATAGATAACTGATAATGCTATAAAACTTTCTAATGACTAAGTTAAACCACTTCTTCTAAAATCCAAAATATAAATCTATATTCAAAATGCTACATATAACAATGATGCAAGCAAATCTTCCTTAATGAATGAATAAAACCATCCCAACCTCAGACTAGACATAATCTTACCTTAGGAACAATCTCATCCATGATTTTGTTATTTCTTCCATTCCTGATAAGCCTCCTGGGTAGTAAGGAAATGTTTGTTCACATTATCAATAATAAGTACTCTAGGTTTAACTTTAAGTTTTGGCCTAAGTTTCTGACCTTTAAGGTCATGTAACAACAAGATAACAACTAATAAGACAAAAATTAAACCAAAACTTCAGCACACAGTAAAATAAAATGTCTTGTAAGTGTATTATTCCATGTATGAACACACTCTTAGGTAAATTCTCCAATAAAAATAAATTCAATAAAAAAAAAATAAACAAATGATTTAATTGAATTAATAAGTCAATGAATGAATCAACCACTGATTTTAATGAAATTTTGTACATCAATGAAATCGTGGTAAATATCTATTTTTTTTTTTTTTATTGATTTTATCTCTGGAAAATATGAAAGCAACAACTGAAATTTAAAAAAAAATATACATTTCTGTTGAAATAAGTTCAATATTTAGAAAACTTTTATGATTCATAAAGATGGCTTGTGGATTTTTAATAACTAAATCTGAAGAAAAAAACAAGAAATTCTAAATGGTCCACCAATCCAACGTAGTGCCAAAATAAATAGAAAATATTTATTAGCATTTATTTAAAAAAAGTTATAGTCTGTGGTACAAACCCCTTTTAATCAAATTATTAACATCCGACGAGAACTTCGTAAATAGCTTCATCACATCATAACCTACAAATATTTTATTTTTCGAAAAATTCCCGGAATTGGGGTGGGAGGTCGGCAAACTTTATCTATTTAATTACGTACTAAAAGCTCGTAAATACCCATTTGCTTTCCAGTTTAATCGTAAGATAACTTGAGCACAAAGTCCAGAAAAAAATGTCCTTAAAAAATATTGAGCCATTTGACCTATATAACCTCTTTATTAGGTCATGCCAAATGGCTCAATATTTTTGAAGGACATTTTTTTCTGGACTTTGTGCTCAAGTTATCTTACGATTAAACTGGAAAGCAAATGGATATTTACGAGCTTTTAGTACGTAATTAAATAGAGAAATAATTAAATTTTGCCGACCTCCAGATTGTAAACACCCCAATTCCAAGAATTTTCGAAAAATAAAATATTTATAGGTTACGATGAGATGAAGCTATTTACTATGAAGATTCAGCCCAATGTTAATAATTAGATAAAAAGAGGTCTGTACTACGGACTATTAATTTAAATTTGAATTTTCCCACCAGTGTTCTGGAAAGAAATCACCAATGTAGTGCATTTCGAATTAAGTTTTTGGGGAAAAATTTCTTGTTTAAAAGCGAGACTTGGTGAATTTGATGAAATGGATTTTAGACTGTATGACCACTATTCTCCAAATCTCCAACTATGAACAAGCCACAATTGAAATAGAGGCTCACTAAGAAAAATATGTTTGCACGTATATAAAAGAAAGTAATGTAAGCAATTTGATAAAATTGATAAAGCATCATTTTGTATTCCATAGTACAGACTCCCTTATCAAATAACACTGTTTTAACTCTTCTTTAAAACCACATCAATGGCCTTTATTATTATAACATACAACTTCTTTATTTACGAAAATTCTCAAAAATGGTGCATTTTCTAATTAATTTAAAAAGGTGCTAAAAACTCATGAATACCCATTTGCTATCCACTTGGATCGTAAAATAATTTAATCACAAAATTGAAAAAAAAAAAAAAAAAGATGGCCTACAAAAATAATGGGCTGTTTGGTCTGTAAATATAACCTCATCATTTTGACTTGTTGGGGGTGGAGGTCACGCCAAACAAGCCAATATTTTTGTAGGTCACCTTTTTTCTCGATTTTGTGATCAAATTATCCTACAATTCAAGTGGAAAGTAAACAAGTGTTCATGGTTTTCTAGTAACGCATTAAATTTACAAAGTTACCAATCTCTAGATTGAAATGCCCCATTCCAAAAATGTTGGTAAATAAAAAAATTGTAAGTTACGATAAAATCAAGCTATCGGAGATGTAGGATTCAGGATGTGGAAAGGGACCTGGAAAAACTTGGTATAAGGAATTGGAGGAGGAGAGCGTTGTGCAGAGAGGACTGGTGCAATGTTGTCAGGGAAGGGAAGGCCCACCCCAGGCTGTAGAGCTAAGTAGTAAGAAGTAATTTGATAAAAATGGGTCTGTACTGCGGATTATAAGAACTGACCAAATTTTCAACTTTAAGTCAAACTAACAAGCCATTTTTAAAATATAAATGTCAAAGAAAATCCTTTTATGGATGTGCATACAAATGTATACATATATATATACCATACAAAAGTAGTTGAAGGAATTTGATGAAATAGGACCTTATTAAACCATACAATCTCAGTAGATTTCATGATTGGATTAATGGTAGGTGATATGCACGTCACATGGACTTGGCTACAGACAGACATGTAACCAAATTTGTTCATTCATGTCTAAAATGGACACAGCAGTATAAATTTTCAATATTAAGGAAAAAAAAAATGTTTAACACCCATAAGAATACAAAGCTTCATTTCCTTTGGTAGTGAGGAATTAAAATTTTTAAAAATCTCCCAGAAAAATATGAGTTTCATATCATTGGTCAACATTACTTTTAAGTAACTAACATGAATATACCTACTTTTTTAGAGCACCAAAAAATACCATAACATTTTATTTTCAGTTTTCCTTTGCTAATACTTATTTTATCTCTACCTCTTTTTTACTTCTGTAATTCCTATATTTGTACTAATAAGACTTTACACATTAGTTACAAGGGCATGTTAGCGACAATTTATATATATAAAAAAATATCTATCTTACCTTTACCAATGTGCCGTCTTGTATTTTCGATCGTGGAATTACGATTAACATTAGACACCTGGCCCAGGCAGAACCTATTATTCATATTACTACTTGGATTCGTGAATCCATCAACGACTACCGAGCGGGCCTGGCAATGGAATACTTCACCGACCCGGCAGTTTAATTCATAATAGGCAATACTGGCCCAAAAAAGTGGTTCCTAAAAATAAAAACATTAATTATGACTTTTTAAATCCAACATATTCATGTATTATTCATTATTATAAACTAAAATTAAAATTATAATGCCTAATCATTGAAACTTACATATATTATATTAAAATAATATTATCCCATAATTAAATTTTTTTTTAACTTTTTACTTTCCTACCTATATTAGGTAAGGAAGGTAATTAAATTACAAACAAAGTCATATAAAAATTGTTTATTTTATATTACATTTCAACTATTAACGAAGTTACAGTTATTCAATTTCCAATGTAAGATTACGGTTTCATATGATGGTGTGAGAAAGGGGTGAATGAGAGAATAAAGATGACTAAGTGAAAGTAAGAAAATCTGTTGCGCGCATCACACAATCTTCACTATTTCCTCTACTTTTAACAGAAATTATTGTTTGACAATACTAAGATATGGCAAAAAGTTTTTGACCAGCAATATTAGGAAGTATTGAAATTTTTACACTGATCTACCTTAAGCCGGTTTACAATGCTTTAGTATATCAAATAAATCATACTCAAATTTTATGTTTGATAAATTTTCAGGAAAATGTATCTAGTTCAATTATTTTTGTTTCTTCATGAACATATGTAAAGATATAAAAACTTCTCTGAAATAGGTAGGAAAGTCGTGTGAGTGGACACACCAGATAATTGTTAGTTATTAATGGTTTATAGTAGACTGATTTTTAAAATGTTATTACCTAATTAAATAAAAAATTATTTACTATAAATATGCATATTTCATTTTTTTTTTCAAATCCATTGTTGATTTCATTGCCTTGCTGAATTAAAAATTAGGTACTTGTGACACGGCCTCTATGGACTGCTATCTGCAATTATTCCCGGGCCGGGGGGTGAGGGCGGGGAAATTTAAAATCCCCTCCGGCACTGGGACGCGAACTCGTGCTTTTTATATCATCTCAAATCTCTGTTATCCGGTTGCCAGGCAACTAGCGGTGCTGTTACACACGCTTTAGCCTATTCGGCCACCCCGCCCCCATCTTGTTATTTAAAGTGTTGTTATTGTTATTTATATTTCTTATTGTTAAATAGTTATAACCTAAACACTGATAATTGCTACAAGGCACTGATAATCCCTATCTTCATATGAAATTAGACTCTCGTATAATAAGAAATATAAATACATTTGGTGTTGCCTCTTTTTTGCCTATTTCTTATTAATATATATATATATATGTATATATATATATATATATATATATATATATATATATATATATATATATATATATATATATATATATAAGAAATATAAATATAATAATAATATAGTAATTTAATAAGAAGAAATATAAATAACAACGACACTTTAAATAACAAGATAACTGCATGACTGCGTCGCTCACAAGTACCAAAAATTATCCAAGGAATTGTAAAAATTATCAAACACAGTCATCGGAGAAAAAATAAACTTGAAAATTTAAAACCATAATAAAAGCAGAAATATGGAAGCTGCTAACAAACAAACATATAAATAAAAAAAAGTGTTTGTTCGATGTAGTTCTTGCATTCCAGGTTAATATATCTCATTTTTATCCACCTTTATGTTTTTGATTGAATTTCCTAAACAAAAAAGGTCATCTTAATCATTTAAATGTGATATATCATTTATTAAAATAAACATCAATACAATTCACTCCAACACAATGGCTATGACATTGGACCAGAAATAATGTCTTCAACGTAAAACAAATAGAGTTGGGGATAAACAAAAAAATGTTATAAAAGAGGACAAGTTTAAGATATCCTGTTATAAATTATTACAGTTCACAATAAATAGAAAAAAAAGATGACCAAAAATTTATTCATGGATTAACTCCAAAGGTTCTGCTTTATAATGGTTGTTCCACTTTGGTAGGTGTACCCAAGATTTCATGATAACACTAAAACTGGAATTTGCAAAATTGACAAGTATTGAAGTGTTTATAATTTTAACTTTCCTTTATTTAGATTGCAATTCATGACTTGCACAAACTCCAAACTAGTCCTTTTCAATTAAAATCGTGGCCTTAATTCACTTAAATTTTATTGCTGCTTTCTACTTCTGCCCTCCCAAAAGGGATAAACAAAACTCTAAGAATAAACAGTCTTTTTTCAGAATAAACAAGTTGTGGTTGGGGGTCTATAACTACAAAAAATTTATAAGTACACAATATTTTACCTATCAAAAGATATAAATAAAAAACTCATAAAATCACCTGATATGAAACAGCAGAGGCTTCAGGAGCTGGTGTTGTATCCATTGCATTAGGTTCACCGTTTCCCATTCGAAGATTATCATTGGAAAATGTCTGGCCGCTTGCATAATCTTTAATAGTATTAATTTTATTATCAATTATTTAATTAGCAAAGTTTTCTTCTATAACATTACATATAATGGGGGGGGGGAGGATTATTAATCACCTGGAATGCCTTCAGAGTACGGACTGTGAGGAGATGATCCCGGACTAGATATGCTGCTCATTGGGGAAGGAGGTCCCCCGATGAAACCACTGTTACTGTAGCTGACATTTTGGGGCATTGCTGGCTCGGGTACTTGATATGGCAGCAACATTGAATGACCGGGTGCAAATTCCGACTGCCTTGGTACGAGAACTGGTGGCAAAACTAGAAAGAAAACAGAAGAAAAATTGTAATACAAAATAATATATCCCTTTGAACAAGAAAAAATGTACATTTACATTGTGGAATAATAAAGGAAGAGATCATCAGATGTGGCAGTAAAAAAAATAACTGAAATAATGTAAATTATTTATGAAAACATAATTATTAAATATAAATTATTATTGAAACAAGTCTTTAGCGAGGCAATATATAGTGAATTTATTTCACTAAACGTATATTTGTACTACAAAAGTAAACCTCATTATGTTGACATTTGCAAAAACTTAACTTAAAAGTAATATTTAAAGTAAGAGCATTATTCGATTAAAAATTTTTAAAAATAAAAAACGAATAATTTTTTTAATCATGAATAGCCAAACCATACACTTTCATCATCTTAGATTAAATCTTATTATTGTAAACAAAATTTTTAAAAACAATAATGATTTAAACTAAAGCTGATAAATCAATGAGTATTAAAGTATGGTCTATCGGGTGGGGGGTTCCTAATTTCTACTGATAGTAAATAAACTTGTCTAATTGAAATGTCTTTCATTTTTAAAATATACATTTCTACATCTTGATGATTTGATTTGCTGTTCTAAAGTTCGATCTGAGGAAAATCTTTTCCTACAAATTGAAAAAACCAACGGTAGAACGTAAACACAGCTCCAACTTATTGTTCCGTTTAATACAACAAGTTAAAAATAGTAAACCATTATTTTATCAAAAACCTCCATGTCGGTTGGTGATTTTTTTTTTACGATTGTTATAAGAAATAAATTAAATTAAGAAGAGTGTCTAAATATTCTTCCTGAAAATATAGCCTTTAACAGAAAAATTTCTATTATTTTTAGTACGACCTCTCAGCCAAAGAGATATCATGGAAGGTCTTCAATAAATTCTATAAAATAGATGTAGAATTGACCCATATTATTAACAATAAATAGATATTAATTTTCTCAATTATTAAATTTTAAAAATATAAAAACAATTAAAACCAAAACAGTAGTTTATTAAATAAAAAACAAAAAAAAACGCCAAAGAAAAGCTCTTATCCATCCTAAGAAACATATTGGAGAGCTGTCAGAATAAAAATAAAATTTACAAAATTCATCATAAGTTTTAAGATGTTTTATTCAGAAATTCATTTATGGAAAAACGACTAACTTTTTGATGTATGAACTGATTTAAATAATTCATTAGTCAAGAATTTCTTTTTTTAAATTAAAATTTAGTAGTCATTTGACAATTGGATAATTTTCTGACATTAAAATTATAAATCATTTTGAAACAGCCTTACTTGATGGAACTTGACCCTTAAGCATAGTTCATATTTAAGGTTCTACCATACGAAACAACTGAAATGATGATAGGATTTATCATAAAGCATTACATAAAAAGAATTATGTGTTAATCAAAAGAAAATCGTTTAATTTTTATCAATTTTGTAGGTTAATAGCCAAAATATTTACCTGGGCTTTCTACCCTTTTGTAATGATAAGGGTTAATGCAAACTTCCTTCTGTTTTGAAGAAAAAGGATATTGGCAGTGTTCCACTGGCTTCAATTCATGGTGCGATTGGAGATCGGGCCATCGCCAAACCCTGCAATATATGACGTGCGGCAAACCCTTTCTATGGGAAACCTGTTAGGAAAGACCAAGATTAGAACAATTGTAAAAGTATTTAAAGAAATAAATACAGTAATAATAACTCAATTAAACATATCTAAAAAGAAAAATTTTCTGTTGACTATTGATTTTTTTTTTATGACAAAAAAAATCTGTAGATATAGAGAAAAATCAAAAATCTTCAAGTAATCAGAGTTACTGTAACAATTTTTTACTAAGAGGTAGGCAACTATACAAGCAACGATAATATATCTAAAAGACTAAAAGTTAAGGATTTCTCCTAAAACTTCAGTAATTATGCTTTATCAACCATGGTAGTTGTACATAAATTATTAATGTAGTGGTTAAGTAGGCAAGTAATTTCAAAATATAACATACAGTCACAGATTTATTTTTAAAGATACTGATAATCATAAAATTGTTCTATAAAAAGCCATTACAGGTTTATTAAGCAGATACTAACAGTAATGTCCAGCCAAGATCTTCTTTGAGATCTAGCCAGTACTTGAGATATTATACTGTGATGCTAAAGATAAGACTCCTTAATCATTTTCTTTGAAAATCAAGATTGTCAAAAATTCAAAAACTCTTTTACAAAAATTCAGTATATATAAAAATCTGAGCAACTTAAACAACAGAAAAAATCTCAAAGTATTGAAAAAATACTGAAAATAACCTAGAATTACTATTATAATTTATATGTTTCGAAAAAGAGAAAATGGCAACTCTAAAAGAAACTGCAATTCTTTTGAATGATTCAGTCATTCCTGTACTTCAGATCAGGATTCATATGTTAATTTTAATTAAAACATATAAATGGGAAATGATAGCTTCTCGGGCAGCAAAAATGCCTTAGTTGATTACTATAATCAAACAGTTCTATACATTAAAACCTATAATGTAACACTTATGATTCAAATTACTTAATGGATTGATAAACAGGACAAATATATTAGTATCTTGCCTTGGGGATGCTTGATAAGTCAAGAACACGTAGATCACTCTGTACATATAATGTAACAATATTAAAAGGAGATTATAGATACATCCCTAAGAAATAAAATTTTTAGCCATTTGATGAGGGCAATAAATATTCTTAATACTTTCACTTCTTCCCATTTGGTGTCTGGGTGTACTTAACTACTAAGAAATTTGAAACTAGTGATTTAAGTAAGCATTTCTATAAGTGTACATCTGATTGATTTACTTAAAATTGGTTATTTCGATTAATTTTTCTTGAATTAAAATGAATTTATGTCATGTATTAAATGTATTTAGTTGTTTGTAAATGAAATATAACCTAACCTGTCAAAAAAAAAAAAAAATGACACTCAGCTAGATTCAGCATTCCAAGAACAGTGGGATCATGTGATCTTGGCTCACCTGTCAACCTGACTTAACACTGCTATTAAATTACCATTTCTTAAAATAAAACATAATCTAACCCGATAAAAACATTTGTTATCAAACACACTGTTAATTTTGGCAGTCTGTGTACTGTTTGATTACTGCAATATTGGTTCACTTGGCCTCCAGATGTGATACTAGTACCAATAACATTAAAGTTGATAAAATGAGTATATCACTTTAAAGCTATTTTGAAACAACTAATGATAGATTTTATAAATATGAAACAAAATGAAACCATACCTGAAGTCTACCATCAAGGCTCCTAGGTATGGTCACACAATTACTGGGCTGTCCAGGACAACTCAATGCCTTTTCAAGTTCATCTAATGCTCCTTTCTTTTTTTTCAGTTTTTTAACTAGAGCATCAACAGCTCTCTCGGCCCATTTTTCTTCTTCATCACCTTGTTTCCATCCCAATAGTTTTTTAACAGCAGGAGTCGTAAAGGAAAACAAGCTGTTGATTGCGGCCAGAGCACTATTAGATTTTGATGGTTCCGAGTTTTCCATTATTACACCAGCCACTCACTGTTTACACACAACACATTGCTGGAATTATTGTAATTTGAAACACATGCAATTCTTAAGTCCAATCTGTAAACTTTATGATGATAAAACACCAATGCATTCATGAAAATACCTAACCTATATAGCTGAATTATAAACAGTTTTCTATACTGATAGGATTAAACTCCCAAGGGAAAAGATACAGAAATTAAAAAAGAAAATAGAAACTTATTATTCTTTAAACTTCTGAGATTAGCCAGAATTTTGACAAACAATAACAGCCTTGAACTTCATAAACAGGTTATGTTGACAACACCATCAATTGCAATTTAATTTTGTATAAGGTAAGTAATAATAAATAGAGAATTTACTTCACGATTTCGTTTAATTAAAATATTACATGACACTGAAAATAATACAGCGATATTAAGATATCTGTATAATCAAACTGAAAAGTTCGAAATTTAATCGCGTATGTAATTGAAACTTCAGTAAACCGAGGAGTTAACTATAGAAATAATATAAATGTGAACTATGGGCGTGATTGCTCAGTTTATGAACTTCAGGAGATTTCAAAACAACATAACGAAGATTAAAAGTCATATAAACAAAAAAAGATTCAGGGGTGGGAGAATGATAAAAACAAAGAGGGCACTAGGTGAAATAGACACGCGAAGAAAAAACACCAATTTCACAACGAGGACTCATGTTGTGAAAATTGGAAGAAAACTGTTGCACTTACACAATACTGGAGGTCTATGGCGACAGCCAGGCGGCATATGGAGTTTTCCAGACTAATGGACACTTCTCCAGCAAGACAAGGGTAGGGATAGGATGACCTTTGCAGGTAGTGGAAGTACCCTCCTATGACCTTTCCAGGTAGTGGAGTGCCACTGACCAGTCCTCATTCATTGTAATCAATTCTTAATTAATAACGACCCTCCAGATTATTCCAATCATAATAGGATTAATTTCTAGCATAAGGAGTTCTTACTCCTGTATCAAAATCAACAACTCAGACCAACGGTAACACAAGAAATTTGAACTAGAGAGATGTGTCTAATGTTCCAATTTAGAATAATATCGAATTTATTTATTTTTTAGCTAATTTGCTTCGCCTTCTGACCTACGATGCCACAAGCTAAAATTACCGATTTGAACCATAAATGTTCTTTTATGGGCGTATTGAAAGTATCTATTATTAAAAATCTTTTGCGCGCAACACACAACTTTCACTTACCGATCTACTATGAATAGAAATTATTTTCTGGCAATGCTGGGGTATTATACATTTTTTTGAAGTGAATTTTAAACGGAGCTAAAGCTTAAAACTTACAGATAACAAGTCATTAAGACCATTATAATTACAAAATGTCTATTTTATATATCGACGACAGGCAATAAAAATCTAGTCACTCCATCTGCTTTTATAAACCACACAACTTTCTTTGCTTTTATAAACTTCAGAATGATTAATTCCAATTTCAAAATTTTTAAGTGATGTCATTTTAGTGATATTTTTAGTTGAAAAAGTTATCAATGCAGAATATGAGTAAGTTGATTCCGGAGGTGGTGATTGCAGTGTTGAAATATAGAACTGAGAATAAAGGTATAAATTAAGGTACTTATTTCTTATGAAAAATGTTCTTAGGAAAGATACTTTATTAAATATCTGTAGAAAAAATGTTTTTTAAGTCTCAACAATTAAAAAAGTATATTTTAAATTTATCCAAATTTTCGCTTCTTCAGGGAAAAAAACTAGAGACCATATCTTTTCTCCTAATTGTCCGATCTTAACGATTTTTTTTTTTGTTTTTTTTAGGAAATTCCATAAACTTTTAAAAAACCAAGAAAGTGTATACTTTTTGAGTTATTCGGAATTTAATTTTACCATCCCTCGTAACCTTTTTTCCTGCTTCTTTTCGTTGAACTATGTTATATAGATAAACTTAAAGGGTGTCGAGAAAATGACTATAGCGAAGTTTCATTGAAATCGGTACATTCCTTTAAGCGCTACAGTCTATACGGTCTATTTTAAGGAAAAAGTTGCCGTCACAACTAAGGCATATACCTAACTTAAATACGTAATATCAGTTTTGTAGGACTTTTCGTTTTTGAGCTAGACTGCTAACATACAAACACACAGACACACAGACCATTTTTCGGGACTTGGTCATTTCGACTCAGGGTACTTCAAAACGTCTATTTCCGTCGAAAACTCAGATTCAAAAATTTTCTCGATCGCAATACTTACCCTTACTATATATTACATATATACGTAAGTGAAAGTAAAAAGTCATTCAATTTTGGCATTTGGAATCAACATTTGTAAATACAAAAATACTATCCGAAAAAACTGAGTCTTGTCGGTAATAAAAATCGAATCAATTGAAACGTAGCCTATAAATCGTATAGTCCACAGTGAAGACTCGTCTGTTGTCAAATTATTAACACTTTAAAACTTTGCGATTGCTTTCATTTGTTCGTAACCTACACAAATATTTTTATATGAGAATATTATCGGAAATGCAGCGTTTTCAATCTAGGAGTCAGTAAGCTTTGGTAAGTTAATGAGGTAGTAAATACTCATGAACACTCTTTTTACTTTCGCTTAACTATATATGTAATATATAGTAATGGTAAGTATTGCTATCGTATAAAATTTTAGATCTGAGTTTTCGTCGGAAATACCCGTTTGGAGGTCTCCTGAGTTCAAATAATCAAGTCCCTCAAAATGGCCTGTGTTTATCTGAACAGTCTAGTTCAATAACTAAAAGTCGTACGAAACTGATATTAAACTTGCAGCAACTTTTTCCTTAAAATCGGCTAGCCGGAAGTGCTACTTTATATCAACGATGAAACACTTTATACAATTTTCTCAAAAACGGCTCTAACGATTTTGATTAAAACATAAATTAAATCTTGATTAAAGATCTTATCTCCATTGATGTCACTTTACAGGGCTTGAATATCCAATGTCCATATACGTCTTTCTCTAAAGTACCTTTAATATGGTTTATTTAAAAAAAAAAACTTTCTTTTATTGACAGTGACTATAAAAAATGGCTAAATATGAAGTTTAAAGGGATATCATAATTGAAAACTAGAGGAAAAAAGAAAAATGCTTATCCAGGCCGAAAATGAAGCTTCAGAAATAACAGTCAGAAGGTGTACGTATAATCATTGGAAAGCGGAGAATTTTAGAAAAAATAATATTAAATAAATAAAGTTGTAGAAGATAACGGAGAGTGACAAAAAAAATATAAATAATAATTTCAGAAAACTAACATTATTTAACGTAAATCACATGTTTCCAGGGAAATTAAATGAAATTTTCTAATTATATGTAACTTTTAATTTTTTTAATAAGTTCGCACCCTAATTAACAACAATATAGTATAATAAATAACATAAGATAAATTAATATGACTAAATTGGCTAATTTATCTAATCAAACTTATCAGTTTTAAGTGATACATGAAAACAAAACGTAAATAGACCGTAAAGATTGTGACCATTGCCGATCGAGCGATTTCGTTATGAATAGAAAAAAGGGCCTTCGCAAATTTATGATAAAATTGAAATATACAGATTTGGATTGTGTGAAAGTTATTATTTGTATTAATAACCTTAGTTTTTTTTTCTGAAAAATAATTTGAAGTGAAATAGAAAATTTAATTCAGGGCTAAGACTGTTCTATAGATGTTTCCGTCTAATATACATAATAGAGAAATATTGAGTAACATATAAAAATATTGGGCCGTTTGGTCTATGTAACCTCGCTATTTTGAAATGTTGAAGGTAAAGCTTTTTTTTCTCAATTTGGCGAATAAATTATCTTACAGTTCAAATGGAAAGAAATTGGGTCTACCTTATTCTGTATTTGGCATTATGAGAAAGACGTGTAATATTTTACTGCGATATATTTTAACTGTGATGTTCAGAAACTTTTGAGAATAGGAATAAAGTCTTGAACATTTTTAACAACTATACAGTTATATTAGAAGATCTTATATTTGCTAACTTCAAATAAAAAATAATTTTAGACTTCCCAGAAGAAAAATCACAAGTTAATTGCAATTCTTAATAAGTGGTCTGTGAATAATCGCGTATTTTATTGGCGAGAGAACAAAGAACAGTATAATATAGATAAGTTAGTGCAATGTATTATGAGCTTGATGAAACAATTTTGTTTTTCTCTACGGAATCACATCACAAGTGGATCAACGGGAAGAGAGAAGGGGGGGGCTTTCGGGCTGAAGGTCTCTCCCCCTCGCAAAATGGTGAAATGTAACCATATTTAATGGAAAAAAAAAATATTAAAAAATTATCTCTTTAAGATTATTGTTCGTGTAATTACATTTAATAGGACTTTAAGAATCACCTAAACACCATTTCATATAGATAGTTATGGATGATATATATTCAGGACATTCTTTTTTTTTAAAAAAAGACTGCGTCCTGAATATTTATCACTCATGCTATGTAGAACAGTTGACTAACTTCCTTCTATAGGTAGTTAGTATCTTTCTTTTTTTTCTAAAGTAATTATCGTTACCTGTATAAAAAAAAAAAAATCTTTCGGGATGGAGCTCCCCTCCCAAAAAAATTAAATCCTGGATCAGCTAGTGAATCACATTATTACATTCATGATAATAAACAAAACTGTAAGCATTGCTATAACGTGTATCTTTTCTAAATATTGAATTCAGAAGAATTTTTTTTTTGGAGGGCGGTTTAGTAATCTTTTCATGAATTATGGGTAAAATCGAGAAAAATGTCTACTTTTTGAGTTATAACAATCTTTAGTTAATCTTTATATATTATTTCTCAAAGGTGTTTTTTTTTTTTGTCGCAGCGCCATATCTTCGTAAATTCTTCTTCAAATACAATGATTTAAGTAGTAATAACTTTATAACTCGCAAATAAAGTTTCTTTTAATTCAAAACTCCTTAAATTTCGCGTGATGTGACTACTTTTCCAACCTGAAGAAGATCTTCAAAATTACTGCTTAATCATTGTATTTGAAGAAGAATTTACGAAGATATGGCGCTGCGACAAAAAAAAAAACACCTTTGAGAAATAATATATAAAGATTAACTAAATATTGTTGTAACTTCAACTTATAAAATGCAATACATTTTTTATGTTTAACCTAAATATTTTGGTTTATTTTTTTTTTATTTGAAATTCAATTCAGGAATCTGTGATGGGGTTAATAAATTTTCGTTCCATGAAAATTAGAGATATATGTTCAATTTGCCAGTTGATTATTTAAATCCTATTTATTGTAAATATATGCAAAAGTAACACAAAAGAAAGATAGTGAAAAGGGATGATATGGACATAATGTAAAATTGTTTAGGCAGATAAAATCAGATAAGGGGAACAGGAGGTGAAAAGAAACCTAAGAATGTACGAAGATACTTAAGATTAGATATAAATATAAAGTTCTTAGATTACTATGTAAACAAGCCAAGAGATATTTAGCTTTTGTAAAGTTAAAATTATTACCCTTCCAGATAGACCATACTATAGGGGTTGAAGTGAAGCTTTCAGGTACTTACTCCAAACAGAGCCAATAGTGGCACCAGTTTCAGGTAGCTTTTGGGGTAGTTTCCCCTTGACCACTCCCCATTCATCGCAACGTGCTGTGAACACATGTTGCACGCTCTACTTTACCTAAGAATAGCAGTCCTTTAACGAATTAATATAATACTTTAATTTTTAAAATAAAAACTTATATTTCAATTAAAAAAGTAATAATGTTATGGGACTCCGGCTTGTCCAAAACGTTTATTTAACAACGAGCTAAAAAACTGTTGAAAAACTTTATATTATTAATTATATTAGCTCTGAAGCCAAGGCCTAAAAATCGA